GGATAAACTGACAGCCAAAAAAAAATAATATAAAACATAAAATATAATAAAAAAATATATACTTCAAGTAAGTATTATTATTATTATTATTATATTTTATGTTTTATATAATTTTAAAAAATTTTTCCCAAAAAATGGGTTTTGGCTGTCAGTTTATCCAAGCTACCTCATTTTAAATACACATCATATATGAAACCGAGGGCCTCTTTTCTCTGTTCTTTTGACTTTTGCTAAGGTCTTCTTGTCACAAGCTTTTAGAGGTTGTCATGAAGACATGTTCTTTGGATGATACATTTAGTCGCTTTGTCATACAACCCAGTCATAAGACACTTACATACACAAGAGGAGCTGTTATCTCTTTAGCTCTCTCGCTCTTTCTGTCCAATCTCTGTGTTTGTTTTCCCATTTAGTGTGTTCATCCTCAAGTTTATCCTTCTCTATTACTGTTATAAATAGAAAGTAATGTGTGTGTGTTGGCCACAGAACTCATTCACAATGTGTGCTGTTCATCTGTCTTGCCCTTATCACAACACATTTGGCCTTAGGTCAACATAAACATGCCCTAAAAACAGTCCAGTACTTTCTGTTCTGCTTAAATAGAACATTTATGTCACTGATCTGCTCTGCTGTAAATCAAGTGTGTTACCAGTGTGTACTATCACATAACAGCTGTGTCAACTGTGTTCCTAGTCAAAGCTTTTACTGCTTTAATATTATAAACATAATGCAAAGAAAATTTGCTTATTGGGCCTTTGTGAGAAGATTGCTTAAATTAGTTCTTAGGTTTGTTTGTACAATGATCTAGAAAATCTGGCATTGAAGTTTTATCTTTAAACAAAGTTTAAAGTTTTAAAAACGTAAAATAAAGAATGATGAATTATTTAAATGAACACCCATTTTATTTTCCGTTTTGCTTTGTTTTGACCTTTCTACATTATTGCAGATTGTAAAAGACAAATGTCGTTTAAAACACTTAATTATTTTGCTGGTACAATAAAAACATCATGAGTACTAAATAAACATTCAAATTAAAACAGGCAAAGTTTTAAAATAGAGCACAGTTCAAAGTATTTTGCTAATTTGCTTGTTTTAATGAGCAAATTATCTCAAATTTAAAGTATCTTATATTGGAAAACGAAATTCTAAAATCCTAAATAAGTATCTATTACAGCATTTTCACAAGAGGAGACTTCTGAAACCCACTTTAGGTTACCCCTGTAACTCTCTGTATTTTATAATGGTACATGTTTATTTGCTGTGTGCATATGAAAGAAATGAACAGCAGTTAATGCTGGTACACTCGTTTATTCAACCTCTTTTTTCACACACGCAGGTTTTGAGCTTCCATCCTTTACATGTCTGTGTTTACAGGATAGTGCTAAATAATGAGTAAAATGGTTTCATTGTGTTGGACTACACATTCATGTGTGTGTTTATTTGTGTGCAGATCTCTCTCTTGTGAGGTTTATTAGGGCTGAGTTGACTAGAGGATATTTTCTGGAGCACAATGAGGCCAAATACACTGAGCGGAGAGAGAGGGTCTATACCTGCCTGCGTATTCCAAAAGAACTGGAGAAGGTACCAAACACAAATGCATAGTCCATACACGCTTACATGCACTCATCTCTTCTGTACAGTATCCTTTATTACTCTGTGCATTAAACCTGATGTTTGATTTATCTGCCACCAAACAGAAATGCAAAAATAATGATACATGTATGTATGTGTGTCAGGGTTCTTAAATGGATAGTTCATCCAATAATAATACCCAATTGTCCCAAACCTATGAATTTCTTTCTTCTGTTAAACATAAAATAAGATATTTTGAAGAATGTTGGTAACCAAACAGTTGCTGGTAGCCATTGACTGGCATAATATGGAATAAAAAAAAAGTACTATATAAGTTAATGGCTACCAGCAACTGTTAAGTTACCAATGGCAAGTTTTATCTACTACTTTTATTCAACTTAATGGTCCTTTTTTTGTAAAATTGAAGTAAGTTGTACCACATACCACATCCAGGATATCACTGGTCTCTCTTTTTCTCTCTGTAGCTGATGATGTTTGGGTTTTTCCTGTGTCTGGATGTGTTTCTGTACGTGTTCACTCTGCTGCCCCTCAGAGTGCTGCTGGCCCTGATCAGACTGCTGACACTGCCCTGCTGCGGCCTCAGGTAATACACAC